AGCCAGGGTGCTCTTACGCCACACATCATGTTCTCACACAGTGAAAAATACATCGCGGAGCAAAGAGGACACTGACAACACGCCGACAGACAAGAGCTCGTTGCTTTTGGTATGAAACAAAGTCTCAGCTTTCAAATTCATTCTTCATTTTGTAAGAAATTCAAACAATAAATACTGTTTTGTGGCTCTTTAATGTGTTGTGATCTACTCTCCTGTCTGTTGTTTTTGTCGAGATTATATCTCACAATTTTTTTTTTCACCATGGAATAAAAAAAATATGATAATTGCAACCATTTTTCACCTCAAAGTTGCAAGTTTTTATCTTCACAATTCAGACTTTTTTTCTCCAAATCACTAGTTTGTACCTTGTAACGATTCTATTTTTTTTCCCACCATGGAATAGAAAGTAAAGATATTTGCAACTTTTTATCTAACAATTCTGTCTTTTTTCACACAAATTTGAGGTTTATCCCATAATCCAAACATTTTTCTCAGAATTGCTCATTTATCTCTGACAAATTCAAGTTATAAACCCGCACCTGTGTCGTACCTGAGTTTACATTTCATAATTATGATTTTCTTTCTCTGAACATAATTACAACTTTTTTATCTCACAATTCCGACATTTTTCTCTTGATTATGAGTTTATATCTCACAATTTAGACCTTTTTTTTCAATTTAGACAAGTTAAAATCTCACAGTTCTGTTTTGTTTTATATCTATCAATTTTGAGAAGAAATGTCTGAATTGTGAGATATAAACTCGTAATCATGAGGAAATATGTGAGAGTTAACACGTTGAGTTATTACTCGCAATTCAGAGAATTTGATAACAAAAGTCAGACTTTTGAGTAAAAAAAGTGATAATTGTGAGATCATTTTGCAGTTACCTTTATTATTATTATTAACCCGTGGCAGGAATAAGCTTCCATATTCATGGCCAGCTCTGAAAATAAGAGCAGAATGGTGTAATAATTCAGAATTGATCTCAGATGGAGCTGTCAAAGCACATGGTATCTTCCAGAATACTCTACAAATATGTCACAAAGCCCTTTATCATAAATACTATTGCAACAGAGGCCAGTTATTGGACTGGTTAAATTATTGATTCTAACATGCAGCTGCCATTACATGTTTTATAATAAAACACTGCTGAATCTGTTCAGAATGCATCAAAGTCTAAAACAGACTCCTCTCGACGGGTCTACTTTCGCTCATTATGATTCTGAAGGCGTAACGACCGCAGCATTTCAGTGTTTTCCTCCGCAGCAGGTGCGTTAAATCGGAGGGATCAAAGCGAATCGGATGTTTTAAGGCCGTAAAATGTTTTCATTGTTTATGTTGATGAGGAAAGCAAATTAGAGATAAAAATACAGCCATTAAGGGATGAGTTTATGGAGGACCCCTGCAGCGCGTGGTGCCAGATCATTTATCTACTCCAAGCTGTTTGCTAGAGCTCATTTCCTCGCTCATTTCTGCAAAACTCGTCAACCAATGACAGGCAGATATGAGATGACTCATAACTGATGTGGGTGTGCAAACCATCAGACATATGGGTTTAAATGTCTCTTTTTGGTGCAATGTACGATGATCATTAAGCCAAAACAGTGCGTGGTAATAGGGATACAACAATAAACACCATAAACTCCAGCGGAAGGCATCCATGAAGCTCTGAATCAATAATGGCGGTATTTCGAGTGTGTAGGTTAGTCTCTGAGTCAAAGTGGGGCTGTTGCAGGTTGTACTGTTACACAAAGCCACTATTTATCAAATCCTGAGAGTATTTACATAAATTTGGATTAAAAAAAAGCATTTATTAGTGTGAGCTAAATCACATTACACAATTAGGAAACATTTGACTGACTGACTGACTGACTGACTGACTGAATAAATAAATACATTTTAAGTATTTAAAGAAGGAAGAAGCAATAATTAAATAAATGGATAAAATATTTTTGAAAGAATAAATTAACAAATGAATGAATTCATAAATGAATAAAAAGAACAAACAAATATTTCAAAAAGAATGAACAAATGATTCAATAAACACAAATACTGAACTGTGACTTCCTGCGTGACACAAAGTCCTACAAAGAGACGGTCCGGTCTGACCTCAGCAGAGTCGTAATTATATAACGTGAGGTGACTCTGTACAGAAACTTCCTCTGTGATTTTACTGCATTGAGCTCTAATCTACGGCCGTGTCTGGCTGTAATCCTAAAGGTCGGGTGAACGCGGCAAAATTAATCTACTGACGGTTTGGATTAAAAAAAAGAATTTATTAGTGTGAGCTAAATCACATTACACAATTAGGAAACATTTGACTGACTGACTGACTGACTGAATAAATAAATAAATACATTTTAAGTATTTAAAGAAGGAAGAAGCAATAATTAAATAAATGGATAAAATATTTTTGAAAGAATAAATTAACAAATGAATGAATTAATAAATGAATAAAAAGAACAAACAAATATTTCAAAAAGAATGAACAAATGATTCAATAAACACAAATACTGAACTGTGACTTCCTGCGTGACACAAAGTCCTACAAAGAGACGGTCCGGTCTGACCTCAGCAGAGTCGTAATTATATAACGTGAGGTGACTCTGTACAGAAACTTCCTCTGTGATTTTACTGCATTGAGCTCTAATCTACGGCCGTGTCTGGCTGTAATCCTAAAGGTCGGGTGAACGCGGCTAATATAATCTAATATTTTTTAAATAATGAATGAATGAACAAAAGTTTTTAAAATAAATATTTAAAAAAAATAGATAAAATATGTTTAATGCATGAATGAATGAACAAACTTTTTATAAGAATAAATAACTAAATAGAAAAAAATATATTTTTAAAAGTAATGAATTAATTAGTAAATTAATAAATAAAAATGAACGAACACATATTTTAAATAATGAATGAATAGCTATGTTTTTAAATGAATGAATGGGCATCTTAATTAATGAATAAATAAAAAGAATGAAATAAATACACAAGTATTGTTTAAAAATATAATCTAATATTTTTTAAATAATGAATGAATGAACAAAAGTTTTTAAAATAAAGATTTAAAAAAAATTGATAAAATATGTTTAATGCATGAATGAATGAACAAACTTTTTATAAGAATAAATAACTAAATAGAAAAAAATATATTTTTAAAAGTAATGAATTAATTAGTAAATTAATAAATAAAAATGAACGAACACATATTTTAAATAATGAATGAATAGTTATGTTTTTAAATGAATGAATGGGCATCTTAATTAATGAATAAATAAAAAGAATGAAATAAATACACAAGTATTGTTTAAACAATGAATGCATTAATGAATATATTAAACAATATATACATATATATATATATATATATGCGTGTGTGTGTGTGTAATGGGTAAATGACTGGATAAATAGACACAATATTTGTAAAAGAATGAAAGGAATAATAAATTAAAATTTTTTACTTTTTATTTATTTTTTAATATTTGTTCATTTATTCTGTTTATTTATTCATTTATAAAATGTAATTTAAATTTAAATGTAAAATGTATAAATTAATAAATAAACGGAATAAATGAACAAATATGAAAAAATAAATAAAAAGAACAAACTTTACAAACAACAAAAAATAAAAACAAATGTTTGTAAAAGACGAATGCTTCAATAAACGTATAAATAATTTTATTGTATAAAAATAATTTTAAATTAACTACTAAATTATTTAAATGAATGAACAAATATTTCTAAATGGACAAATAAATGAAATTAATAAATTAAATATACATCTCTCAAAATGCCCGTCTCTCCCTACAAGTGCTCTTCTTTCACATAAAAGTTCATACATATATGTATTTATTTATCAAGTAATCTGTGTGGTAATGTACAGTCACACTGTCACCCTTTCAGGAGGGTTTAAAATAGTTTCGGGGTCACTGTAAACGTCAAGGACATTGGGTTCAGAATCAACACAGATCTGTTTCGGAGCTGATTTTCGGCTTCATCCTGATAGTTGTTGAGTATGATGTTGAGTCACGCCGCTGCGAGGTAACTGTGACTTCCTGCGTGACACAAAGTCCTACAAAGAGACGGTCCGGTCTGACCTCAGCAGAGCCGTAATTATATAACGTGAGGTGACTCTGTACAGAAACTGCCTCTGTGATTTTACTGCATTGAGCTCTAATCTACGGCCGTGTCTGGCTGTAATCCTAAAGGTCGGGTGCATTTACAAACTTAATGTGATGCATATTTGTTGGTCACAAAGATGCAAATAGTTACAAAACAAAACCATGAATACAGAATTGATTTTATTTCACTATCATATTTTCAAAAAGCATTCATATAAATTGCTCAGAATCGAAACAAAAAACTCTTAAATATTTTAATTTTTTTGCTGTGTGACAGATTCAATTTTTATTTAATTTAATATATATTTTTTTTGGTTCAAAAGAAACAAATGTATAATGAGCAAAACCAAACTAAAAGCAAAACAAAGCACAAATCAAAAAGCAAGACCCCTCTGGTCTGCTCCTGAGCAAAACACTAAACAATATACGATTTTTTTGAGTAAAAATCTTTCATGTTTAATTCATTGGATTTTATTAAAATTTTCAAAGTGCCTTGATTCAAACTGAATCAGCATAAATCTGTTTATTGTGAAAACAATTACATTTATGCATTAAAAAGTATGAACATTATGAACATTACTTAAAATGAGATTGAAGCAAATTCGATAAATTAATAATAACCATATAAATTAAGTTTTTGTGCATTTAAAACACATTCAGGTTATTAGTAATATGACAGAAAACCTGCCTGTTTCTTAGCTGTATCATCTATGTATTCCTAGCCAATATGCATCACATTAATTTTAGATTGCTTCTGTTAAAACTGTGTAAATTTTATATGTAATTCAATAACATAAATCTTAAATATTTTCGGTCTTAGCTGAAGACAGTGATTGTCTTCATCATTAGTGTTATAATGATGCTCAGTTTCACTCACCCACAGCTGGTTTCCAGCAGATTGTCTCCCACCTGCAGGGACGCCATGCCGAAGTCTGCTATCCTGATGTTATTCTTCTCATCCAGCAACAGGTTCTCCGGCTTCAGGTCCCTGTGACTGTACGAGAGCAAATGAAGGAGAAGAAAACGAGATGTGAAAACTGCAGCTGGAGTTCTCACACTAACTCTTTATATTATATAGTATATTTGCCCTTGTGTCAGCTAGACTAGTTGCGTCTGAACCTGTAATGAGATGCTTTTCAATTATCCCTGTTTCTTTCTTTCAGTGCTGCTAGTCTACAAGAGCCTGTGGGAACCCCTGATGACAGATGTGTCAGAGTCTGATGGCACTCATCTGACCACAGTTGGAAATGAACTAGTGGCTTCCAACCATGAAATTAATTCAAAACTTTCTCTCAATTAATTTGAATACAGTTTTCACTGTGTAAACAAGATGACAGAGTTTCAAAGTACAAAAGAAATGAAGGTATTGTGGGCAAAACAAAAACAAAAAAAGCACAAACAAAAAAACAAACTAAGGAGAAAAAACAAAACAAGTAAAGCTCCATAAATCTACCAATAATAGTGTAATATTCTCAGCCCAGATTAACACACATTTAGAAAATGTATATCCAGTCCACAGAATTTCACAGGTAAATATTTAATTTTATCCACAAGATTTCATTTCATCACAGGTAACAATGTGAATTACATACAGTAATCGACATCAAATGTATTAGAACAACACTATTCCCTCAAATGTTGTCCAACTAACCTAAGAGAGAGGTCTGAACTAGAGCCCGACTGATATGTTTTTTTTGGGGCCGATACCGATACCGATACCGATATTAGGGAGTAAAAAAAAAGGCAGATATCTATATATCGACCGATATTCTATAGTATAGTACAATACCAGTCAAAAGTTTGGACACTTTCCCATTCGTGAACTTTATTATCCAAAATGAGTCTGACATCAGTGCACTGAACAGTAAAGTTGAAGTTTATTTAACTTTAATTCAATTCAATTCCATTCAACTTTATTCCGTTGAAGTTTTTCACTTCGGGAACATTCATTCACGGATTTGCGCTACTGTCTTCACACACAGACGAAACTTACTAGTGAAGTGTGAAGTGTGACATAATATACCTCTGTAAATAAATACAATATAAATAGGGATGCACCGAAATGAAAATTCTTGGCTGAAGCCGAAACCGAACAAAATTAAACACTGGGCCGAAGGCTGAATACCCAACACAAATTTTTAGTTTTTTTCCCCATGTATTTTGTCAAATTTTTTTTCACCATTGCATAAATTAAAGAGCCAAAATGGGCTTTTTACCGTTTTGTCTTGCTTTTCAAAAAAAAAATCAATTACAAAACAACAGTTTAAAAATATTTAACACTGAACATTTTTAACATTCTAGCAGACACTATACCAACAAAGCACAATTTAACTTAAT